CTATTAGCAAAATCCCCAGCAGAGTCAAAGTGAAAAGTACATGAACTTCTACCGATTCAGATCATAGACGCAGCTTCTCTTAGTAGCTGCTTTTCTTTTGCGACTTTGGTGGTTCGGAGGCAAAGCGCCAGCCTAAGGATCCCCAGTTGGCGGGTCCGAATCCCGGCCGAGGTGCCTGCAATTGATGAAGGCGCAGTGCAACCGAGATTTTGGGGTGCACGTCCCACTGCCCGGGCGGTCAAAATTAATCCTCAGTCCTTCGCTGGGGCGTGACAAATGCCCTTCGTTGATATGGCACGTAAAAAAAAAAAAAAAAAAAAAAAAAAAAAATTTAACTTGATTTTTTTTTTATTTATTTATTGTTTTCGCCTCGGGGCGACTCTCGGTGTCGGGTAGTGCATGATAGTTTGACCAGAGAGCGAACGTAATCTGCCTAAAATATGACACCCCGTTGTACCGCTGTTTAAGGGAGCAGCTTAGTCAGCCCAGTGTGACTTCGATAAACCCTACACTGATTACACAAAAGCAGTACAAAAACCGATTCCTATCGCAACCGGCAGTGCCGATCAGATATCGGCGCCGCCTTGATGTCCGGCCAAGTGTACACGGAATAAATACCAAGGCTGGCCACAGATGCGACGGCTCGTGTACATGTTTATCTAAAATAGACACAGCGAGCACGAATGCGAAGAAAGGCAAACCACAAACTTGAGCGAAGAATTAATGACGCCACTGGATCCAAATACAGCCGTTACGCCTCCGTCCAACGTTGAAGGGAATGCGATAGGAACGCTTTCTGGGCCTCTCAATCAGTCGGCTGCGGCGATACGAGGATAGATACGATGTATCCGATGAACACAAAGAACCATGACGCACTTTCTCGGGGAAAATAAAATGCGCGTATACTCGGGGCGGAAAACAAAAACACTCGAACGCGCGGTCACTTGCGTAATCCTGGCACGGGAACGAAAAAATAAAACACACCCGTTCGCTGCAGGTCAAAGGCTCAACAAACTCAGGAAAACACTTTCTACGTCGCCCACTGAGGGTCAGCGCGGGCGTATATATTGCACACGAGGGCATGCAATGTCAGTGTTGACCTGGAACTGGCGTTCAGAACGTGGGTCCCAGTACGTGACCCGCGTTAACCCTCAGCAGGTGAGGTAGAAAATTCAGCACTGCGGCTTTCTATCTATAGGCGTGTTGCTCTCAGCCAGGGAGAGTGTAAAGTGAGCTGCAGTATTTGATTATGCACAAGTCAAGGTCGCTTACAAGCGTGTGTCAGCATGATCTGTCCACGAGCGGTAACAAGCGTATGAAAGAACTAAACAAAATGTTTAAATAAACAACACCAAAGTGCCAGCTCGCGCCCTTTCAGCGTCTTAGCAAAATACAAATGCTTTTCTTGCTGTTATTTTATTAATATTTTTCGAAAATTTATATTACCCTATGAAATACGGCCACCTCGGCGCCCGCGATATAGACCACTTTCGAAAGTTACGTGCCGATTATCAGAAGGTTTTTGGAACCCCTGCACAAAGGCGGAACAACTGCCATCGTGGAACGTGCAAGTCATTCCATCAGATAGCGAACGTCGGAGCGCGGTAAACGCTAGGAGCCGACGATCCAATCAAACAGCTTCGAAAGTGCAACGCCCTCCTCCTTTTTCTGTGGGGTGTTTTTTTGGCCTTCTAATTCAACCAAACGCATAAAGCGTGCCGTCACGTTGTGGTTTTAGTCCGTCATTGCGCAGGGATCCCACATCTGCCGACAGAGGGCAGTATCTCGAAAGGGGTCTATACTCGTTGTCACGTCAAGAGTTTTGCACATTATCCGTGCGCTACGCCGAAGTAGTTCCTACAATATTTAGTTGTCGAAGGAAGAAACTATGTTTTTGTGACGTTTGAAGCGTGCACGTCTTGATGAAATAACAAAGTTAATCGGAGACGCACCCACAGATATATTAATCCGACGCATAAAGGGGAAAATTAGTAACATTCCGCAAAAAAATTGAAATCTATTTGTTCTTCTTTTTTTTTTTTTTTTTTTTTTTTTACGACGGTGGAGGAATTTTTTACTGTTCAGATTAGACGTGACGCAGACGGTGGATTGTCCTGATCGGACGCCGATGCAGTTACGAATCTCAAATCATGGCCAACGCGCATCGGTATTTACGGTAGAGATGATGTTTAAACATCTTTCTATGGCGTAGGTGCATCACCCTGCCCAAGGGCCGCAGGGGTATAAAAAAACTCTTCTTTCAAGAGTCGCAAAACCGAAAATAGTCTTCTTAAATACCAAAAAAATTGAGCTGATGACCGTTCATCGTTACAACTACCCGAGTTAGGGGGGGCTTTTACCGTTGCCCCTTTAACTTGAAACGCTCTTCGGCTAGGTGTTCGGCATTTCGTGAAGCCCAGATAAAAGTGAAGCCTGGATAAAAGCGTGGCCGCGAGGCTCGACACTAATTGGTTGACGGGTGGGAGAGGAGGAGTGCGGTGCTCGACACTGATTGGATAACGGAGAGGGCATGTGACCAGAGGGGTGGGCGAGGAGGAGCTCGACCATCCGTGTGCACTAAGGGTGAGGAGCTCGATAGTATACATGGAAGGCCCTGGAAGATCGGCAGGTTTATCAGCCCGATTAGCGACAGCACCCGTGTCACTAGTTGCGTGCAATACAAGCCAAGGCAACGCCAGGGAAGGCTGGGGAGGAGAGGAACCTCCTCTCTAACGTTCCTAGGGCTCTCCTTTTCGCCCCTCGCCCTCCTCTCCCTCCCGCCTTCCCAGTGCTTGCCCTTTCTCTCTTCGGCTGCACTGCACACAACTAGTGACACGGAGAATAGATACAACACGAAGTGTACACATGACACACGTTGAACTATTTGATGAAAAGTGCCGTGAAAGTTAGGCGTCTGGAAACTCAGAGTATCGCTAAACGTTTGTGATGTTAGAATGCTTCACGTATGCAATACAATCGCCTAACAATTTGCCGTTGTTTTTTTTTTTTTTTTTTTTTTTTTTTTTTCAGTTTTGGGATGTCGAATATATTTCAAATTATCGGTTTATTTGTATTATTTATTTTTTTTTTTTTTGGGGGGGGGGACAAATTGTGAAACTGGTGTTTTTATTCGCTGCATCCGGTTAGCTAACAAGTTACAGGAACTACTAGGACCTTGGGAGATTGGACGATTATGGAAGTTCGCTATGCTGAAGAAACTACCCTCGGGGACAATTTTTTCTGGCATTTCCGAAGAAGTGAAGACTGCGCGAGCACAGCTGGGATCGGTGCTCAATGCGAGCGAGCGCACGGGCACCCATAGCTTTGACTCGACTGCCAAGAAAAATTGTCCCCAAGTCTTGGGGACTCCAGCGAAATCGACGGCACCAGGCGGCTAGAACAGAAAGCGGTAGCGGCAGGTACACTCTCTAGCCTTCCAAAGCGAATCAGATATTCACAGCGCCTGGCGGTCAAAACACGAAGCCGTGGAAGTAGCTTCAAAAACACGTGATAAAAATCGCCACCAAAGGACACCAGGGACAGGGTTTGGTGCTGAATTTCTTACAGTCTGCTTAAAGAGGCACGAACCTTGAACGTCGGTGAAACCAGAATCGCAAGTCATGTGGCAATAAAACATTATTCGTTATTTGTTAAACTAATAAAAACTTCTTGGGCTATGTAGACTTCACGTGAAAATTCGGTGCAACTAGAAGTAGCGTGTTGTTTTCCCTTTTTGTGTAAATTACCTAACTTTAAAAAAAAGAAATTGGAAGGTGGCATCGGATCTTTGTGCGGTTGTGCTGTTTCCTTGCTATGCACATCAGGTAACGTTTGCACACCATATTGTTTCAGGTTAAGAAAAGCAGGACAAGCTCCTTGCACGAAGGCCTCCACCCTTTCCCCTTTAGCAGAGCGAACGCTGGAGAGGACGTGACAGAGGAGGCAACATCAACACCTGTTGGGCAAGTCCACTCGCCTCCTCTCCAGCGTTAGCTCTGCTAAGGTGGAAAGGGTGTAGACCTTCGTGGGAGGAGCTTGTAAAATGGGTTTTGTACGCCTTTAGTACGACCCCCTAACACTATCAGAGTTCATAGAGACCCTCTCCAACTTTCAGGAAACTGGGATCGATTGAAACACTACAGACGTTGTATCCTTATCAAAAGTGCATGGTGCTCCAATAAATCTCAAAGGTTGCAAAACATTTAAAAAAAAAAAAAAAAAAAAAAAACAGCAACAGCTGGGCCGCGTGCGGTGCGGGGGGTCAGACCCGGCATGGCCAGCAGTGTTCTAGGATCACTACAGCCAACACGTTTGCTTGGGTGCTGGAAGATCCCTAAGTCTCGCTTATAATATCAGTTAGAAACGCACACATACAAAGGCAAAAAAAAAAACAAAAAAAACGATAACTACAGATGTTTTGTACGGACGAAATGTGTCGCGCTAAATGTACAGGATAAAGGCGTCTAAAATACTGCCAACATAAAACGAAATAAACAGCTGGTAAGTCCCCAGGAACTACTTAAATTCAGGACTATGCGAAAACACCGGCTGCCCGGCCTGCCTACGCAGCTGAGATTCGCGCGCGATGCGTCATGAAACCCTACGTCGAGCAATCACCGAGAAAGCAGCGCCCGTTCCATAGAGCTGACAGCGAGTGTCGAACACATACGTCTACACAACAAATCAAACACAATACAAACGCGAAGAGCTGTCATCAAAGTTTGAAGCACTCCAATTCCGGAAGTCGTCGACGGATCGAATTCAAGGCCGCCCAGCTCGCTTTATAAAACTGCCGCTATTTAAATTCGCTACACTCCAAGAGCTCGTAGCGCCGTTAGAGTCGTTAGAGCAGCGTCCGATATCGACCGGATGGCAACAACATTGATCACTCTCCGAGAAATTAATAAAACAAAATACCAATTAAAAAAAATAAAATCTAATTGGGAGGCAACCGCGTGAACGGAACACGCATCAGCTGAGACTGCGCAGACGGTACTCACCAGGCGCAGGCGTCGACTTGAACGTCTCGCTTTGGCAGACTGAAGCAGACGACGGAACGACGGCTCGAAAAGGACGCCATAAACGAAACAAGAGCGCGCGCGCTCTCCGAGGGAAAGTGGAAGCGGGAAACAGGCGTGCTACAAAGTGAAGGTCAACGTGTTATCTCTGGGTTGCCTCGTGCTATAATCCGGCAGCATTGGAAAGAATCGGCTTCCTTGAACATTCCGCAACAACGATTACGCCACAAGTGTTCGAATACGAACTGACGCTAAGGATGTCTCGTGATGTTTACACCCTTGGCGCTTGCCTCCGACTCCGGGGTTCAAAGTTCCAGTTTCGGTTTAAAAGCCGCGCTTTTTTGTTTTCTTTACTGGGTGTTATTTTGCAGTCACGAGGCGATATGACCGAAGCAGTTGGGTAAACCTAGCTAGAGCCCATTTGTGTGGCCTTTTAATCAAGATTAGGTGTCAACGGCGCAATTGTTGAATATCTGCTATCAGCGCCGCGTTCGCGGGGATGACAGTGTGCGACCCTGGTAATCATTGACAAGACCAGACCTCCCATAGCAGGCACAAACAAGCAAACAACAGACGGTTTTCTGCCGTCAACACCGGCTTAAAGAGACAAACAATGAACGCTGAAAATATGTTTATTAAATAAGACGCAGCGGCACCAGACTGCTAATGCCACAACATATCACAAGCAGCGGACTCGACCCGGGTACATTTGTAGTGCAGCGTTTGCTTTGTTCACGTGATCCGCCCGCACTAACCACGTGCCGGTATTCTAGCCCATAAAGTGCCCACTTTGCTGCAACGAAGTGCATAAAATGATGGCTTCTTGTGGACCCACTTGTGTGCCTGTATAACATACTCATAAAATGGGTTACATAAGGGCAACACAAGTCAGTGCCACAATGTTTCATGTGTTATAAAATAGGCACATACATGCTGCAAGGTAAATGGGTGTTGCCAGACTTTAAAATAAATTATAGCTCCCTTAGCTCATATCCCTCCAAAATAGACTGCAAGACATTGAAGTGAAGATGGAACTAAGCTACACCCATTAGAGGTAGAATCTAATGCTGCCCTCTCCAGCAGGCTCAGACAGCATGTTTGCTTGCAGTTCAACAACACCAACTTGGCTTGAAGTGAACAGTCCAGTGTCATTTTAAATTACTTCAAAATAGTGCTACTAAACACCTAGAAAACCTCAAAAAGTGTCAAACAAAAACCCTCATCACCAGCTGAACCTGCAGCCTAAACCACCCCACCATGATGTTTTAACACTTTTCCTGTCAAATTCAGCTAAAAACAAAGAAAACAACAGAATAAATCCAGATCACATAAACTACGTGAAAACTAAGTGAAAGGCTCTGCAAGCAACTAATTTGTTGCACCATTACGGCTAGGTGAAAAACTGAGAATGTGGGTGAGAGACATGAGGATGGGGGAGCAATAAGGCGGCAGAGTGTGAAGCTACAGGAACACTTTGCTTCGAAGCAGCTTTGCGCTCGACGCGAGGTTCTTTTCGTCTGCCTTCTCGTCGTCCTCATTCTCGGTGAGTGCCCGAATGATCCTCTCGGCAGCGTCCGTGTTTCGGCAGAGCTTGCACACCATGTCGTTGAACTGGTCTGGCCGATCAGCAAACACGTGGTGTCCCGCCCCCTCTATGATCTGCAGAGAGAAAGTGCAGTCACAGTTAAAGCGACCCTGCAATCAGTTTCCATCTGTTTGCAGGTTTCTGCAGTAACTACTCATAGAGCACAAGCCTTAGTGTTCAGCCGTAGTGTTCACAAAAGCTAAACAGATCTGTTTGGGAGGAAAGGGTATGCTACCTTGAACCCAGATGTACCCCACTAATCTGTGCAGCCTATAAATAAAAGTATCCTTACAACTATAACCCCAAACACCTTTACAGGTATGTCAACCCAGCCTTGGCTGCAGCCTGCCTAAGTTTCCAGAATGGATGAATGTCAGGACAGGCAGATTACAGTGGTGCTTATACAGGGTGTTTCTCGGAATGCTGGCCAAATCGGTCAAGCAAAATTCAGAAATCACACAGGAAAAAGGTTAATGTCATATTGGTCTCTACAAAAGGCCCATGTATTTAGGAAAATTAACATTGTTTCGTATAATTAGGTTCCTAATTAATTTTGAGTGCAGTTTCCGACCGATTTTTCGGACGCTGATAATTCAGACTTGTTCAATATTTCGGACCCAAAGGAGGAACCGCAACCACCCCGACAAAAATAGTGCATATTCATGACCGATTTTTCGGACACCTTAGGTCCGAAAGTTCACTTTTTTGGACAAAATCGTTCGAGCGGTCAGCGGGAAACACCACCAAGAAGCGGCCATTTTGGATTCTATGTTGGCTGCACATGGATTGGCTTAGTTTCGCAGCGTACCGCTCGGTGACGCGTACCGCTCGGTGATGCGGTACGGCTTTTTTTTATCTAGCTGTGCATCATCATCATCATCACTGTTATTACCATCTTGCTATGTTCATTTGCCATTGCAGTTGTGGAATTGCGCCTCTCATCTCGATCTGGTCTCTGAGAATTGTGTTTTCGGACTACGTTGACTACTCTGGCTTGGACGTCATTGCCCCCATCTGTTCTTCTGCCGCCGCAAAAAGTCGCTAGGAAGCGCAGAAAGTACTCAACCATAACGCTAGAAAAGAAGACAGCGATTCTCAAGCTAACAGAAAGTTGCCGAACACAAACGGAGGCGTAACCTGAAACAAGGCACACAGGTGTGACCTGAAACAAGGAACTATTTAAGGCTTTTTTAAGCCCGTGTAGACGTAATAAAGGAAAGTTTTTTTATCTGCCGATTTTTCGGACTGCTCTATTATTCTGACGCTTTTTCTGTTCCTGCGAAGTCCAAAAAATCCGTCGGCGACTGAAATTAACTTTTTAGTTTGTAAATATAAAATCATGATTTCGATGAGAAACTTTCTGGGCATCATTGAAAACCACTAAATTAGTCCACTTTGCAAAGATAAAAGAAACATGCAGCATTTTATGGCATTCCGAAAAAACACTAAATTCGGACACGTTTTTAAGTTTCAGTTTCCCAACGGGTATACGGCCGCAGGCATCTCCATGCCAGTGGCCCTGCACTCTCATGACCAAAGTGTGCAACTAACGTGAGCTGCCATGGATTCTTTGAATAATGGAGGTAAACACAAGAATCAACGCTTATTCTTGTAATGTCCTTCAAGCAGTACAGTGTTTCATTTTGCCTGCAAGAACCACACCCTTCTCACCTAGAAGGGAGGCGAAGTGGTGGGTGCGCACTTTGGCCACTTCTAGTACAACTTCGCTGCAGAAGGCCGAGTTCAATTACGTAGCCTCAGTATCGGGAACCACAAACTCTTAGTCATTCAAAGAATCCCTGCTCTCTCACAACACACACCTCATCAATCATAGTCATTGAATGTCGTGTTGGGAACTTGGAGTTGTATCATACTAATACGACCCCAACTTTATACTAATATGACTTAATACTAATAGAAATAAAAAAAATGCGCCCAAAATCAGCCTTTTTTCTTTTTTTTGAACCATAAAATGCTGCGTAAGACTTGTATTTTTATAATGTGGGCTGATGTAGTGGTTTAGAGTGGTGCCCAGAAAGTTTCTAACTGAAACCATACCTTTCATTTACCAATTAAAAAGTGAATTAATCAAAAGCAATTAGGAAGCTAGTACATAATACCAAATGCTATTAATTTTTCCAAAATATGTTTTTTGGCAGAGACCAATATAAGATCAACTTTTCTTTTGTGATATATCCTTTCGCAGGAGTGAATAAACCAATCTCACCGAGCGTTGCATGCGTGTATGGCGCCATTGTAATTGAAGTTCACAGGAAGCAGAGAACAGTGAACGGGTCAGCTCGTGCTGTCTCAGGCTCTACTCGTGCCGACCCGCAGCGGAGTTGTCGCGCGTTCAGAGAGACTACAGTTCCCCCGATGCATGCCAGCACTGGCGGCGTAACAAAACTGGCTGGTGAGATTGGTCTATTGGCCAGCGTTCCGTGACACACCAGGAATAGGAGACTGTGGTAGGAAGCTGCTCTGGACGTGCATCTCCAGGACTTGTTGAATAGAAGCCAGAAAGTCTCAGCACCCTGGGGACATTTGGTGACCCCAGAGCCTGCCTTCTACAGCAGGATCTCATTAATTCAAACTCCAGGAAGCCACAAATTTTGTTTGAATTACCAAAAGTTTGAATTAACAGAAATGCATCGAAATATGATGCAAGATAAAAGTATGATTTGTCATGTGGATAGCCACACATACAAAGCAGATATTTTATGATTTCCTCTACACAGGCATACTAATCATAAGCAGGTATGCCAGACATGAAACATTGGCGAAATGCATGAGATAAGTTTATTCATCCCTCAAAAATGTTGTCTATCGTGGACTGCTTAAACAGCACATCAACACCTCAAATCAAAATGAAGCTTATTCATCCAGCAAAAAAGTTGTCTATTGTAAACTATTAGCCCCGTTGAGCGTGCTTCTTACCGAGCACCAGTGCACAGCGGAGAAGCAACACCATCGGAAGCGACCTCCACGGGTGTTGCTCCTTCACAGTGCACCGGTGCTTGGTAAGAAGCGCGTTCAAGAAGTACCTATTACCGTATTTATTCGAATATAAGGCGAGGTTTTTTTCCAAACTCCGTGGTCTCAAAGTCATACCCCGCCTTATATTCAAAGCTCAGTATAGCAATATGACGATTTTTTTTCTTTTTCTTGGGTCCTTCAACTGCCCCCTCGCCTTATAATCGTGACCGCCTTATATTCAAATAAATACGGTAATTACATAAAAACGCCCTTCGAATCAAGGCCTGTTAACACCTACAGCGGAGCACCAAATCGGCACTGAAAAGGATGCTGAATTGGTGCTGATGCTGTGCCGAGTTGTCAATTCAGCAGCGATCATCGGCACTGCGTCACCGCTCACCAGTGTGAAACAGCGCGTGAAAGAGATGATGCAGGTTCTTGTGCTGTCGGAGCTGTGGTCCATGTTTGTCAGACTCTCTCCTGCTTCTTTTTCTTTTACCATCACAACATCAGATAGCAGAAAAACTGAATCTTTTTCCAGGCGCTGTGCAGCGGCGGTGAGTACGCCCCAACACTCACCGACATCACCGATGTAGTGATGCTCTCAGCGTCACATCGGCGGTAAGTCACGTGCAAGTCAGAGCTGCATCGGCACTGCACTGTATCATGTATGTATGAACCAGCCTTTAAGCGGTTTATGAATACTTTGAGAACATAGTGGGCTAACCAAAATTGTGAAATTTGTTTTAATTAACCAGAAGTATGAAATAGTATCAGAATTTCAATTACTGAGTTCACTGTACTTAAGAAAGGTCCCCACCTCAACATCCACCTCGCTCTCCTCTCGAACCTGCTGCACTTGGATGCCGGGCTGCTTGTCCACCCATGACTTGGAGCCATAAATGAAGGTCATGGGAACTCCCACGTGGAGCTCCGCTATCCGGTTCACCATCGGGTGCCTGGCCCAGCCGTACTGGGTCATCATGGCCTTGAATGCAGACTCCCCACTGCCAGTGCCAGAGAGAAGACAGAACGACATGCTTTGATAACAAGCTCCAGCCACCTCGGAGAAACTGTTTTCCCAACTGATCCCAACCCATGGAAAATTTGATTAAAGCAACCCTGAAGTACCGGGATAGACTGGGAAAATGAAACCCAGTTTTCCGGCCCGCATGAATAAACTACGCATCACAGAAAGCTTTAACTCCGCTAGAATGTGACGCTAGCGGTGGTGATAGAATGCGAAAGTTCGAGCAAATGATGTTACCTAGATCAAAAGATACAAAAGAAAAACAAAATTTCTTTATGAGCTGACGTCCACCTAAGCCTAATATTCATAAAACCAAAATTTGATATTGTAGGTGCCTGTAGCAATTATGACAGTGAAAAAACTTGGCAGCCAAAAAACAATGTCATCTTTCGAACCGAGAGTTTTTTTCACTGAAATAAATGACACAGGCGTCCACCATCTCAAATTCCGGTTTGATGAATATTAGGCTTACCGTAAAATCCCGAGAGATGCCCCACCCCCGAAAGATAGCCCACCCCAATTTTTGGATTGGTTTGCTATATTCTTTTAAACACCGAAAGATAGCCCACTACTAGTAATAGTAGTGTTGTGTGTACCGTAAAAACCCAAATATGTTTTTTTTTTTTAAATTTTGCTATGTAAAATTTGCGGCTCGTATTATACGCGGGTCCTAACAATTTTCAGCTTCGATGAGGCGCGATCTAACGCCGTTTGACGTAGTTTCGGTTTGAAAGCAATAAGGCGCTCAAAACAGCTATCATCATCATTAAAATCACAATGTTCTAGGCGCCACCATCCGTCAACAGTGAGGCTCGGCAATGGCGTCGTCGCGAAGGCGATAATCTACCGCCTTCAAAAAAAAAGCACTTTTGGTTGCAGAAGGCATCGGCAACAGGGCAGCCAGACGACAATTCGCTGTAAATGAGGGCAGCATCCGCGGATGGAGACAACAAAAGCAAGCTATGTTTGCGTGCAACGGAACGAGAAGAGGCTTTAGCAGCCCGAAGAATGGCGTGTTCGCCGACGTCGAGGCAAGTCTCAGCGGAACGGCAAGTCTCAGTGGAACGGCACCTCGCCGTAAGCACCGAGCTGCTGCATGAGAACTTTGGCGAGCCGACAATGGGTTACTCGCTTTATGCGCCGTGCCAAGATTTCACTGCGTCGGCGCTCGCTCGTCGCTCGTTCTTTCAAGTGCAGGATTTCAAATGCGCTCGACGGCACTGAAGAATTCGCTCAATGGCCTTTGGGAGGAGGCGTCGGACAAGGAGTCTGACGGACGTGATGACAGTGATTTAAGGTTCAGTTATGACGCAAATAAGGAATATTTTCGTAGCCCTGATTTTGTTTCGTATTATACGCGGATAATCTTTTTTTTCACAGTCCTCAAATTATGTTTTCTATTATTTGCCGGTTTTCACGGTACTCTTCTACTGGTCCATCGTTCGTTTGCGCTGTATTCTCGTTCCAACAAGCTTCGAAGGGACACAACCTAAAAATAGCAATTTTTTTAAACTTTTCTTGATTGTACACCAAAAGTTAGCCCACTTCATATTTTCACCCGATTTGCTCTTCATGTTAGTTGGGCTACCTCTCGGGATTTTACGGTAGGTGGATGTCGGCCCATAAAGAAATCCATTTTTTCTTTCGTATCTTTTGACCCAGGTTAACGCCATGTGCTCAAACTTCCTAATTCTTTCACCACCGCTAGCATCCCATTCTCACCGAGTTTCGGCTTTCTGCGATGCATAGCTTATATATGTGCAGGCTGAAAAACCGGGTTTCATTTTCTCAATCTAACCCTAAAGTTTGCTTTTCTGGTTGACAACCCCGGGAAGTACTGACCTAATAATTCTAATCTAGACAGATGATTCCTTTCCACATGGTAAATCTTTTAAGCAGGAAGTTCTGAAACTCCCAATAGTTTGAAAGCATTTGAAAATTTAGGAGTTCTTTAAAGGCTTCGGTTCGGCCAGTTCAAATACTGCAAACACGTTAGAGACCGGATAGATTCAAATGTTGCAGATGGTTCAGAAGTTAAAAAGTTTCCACTTTTTTTGGTATTGAGTTTGCACAGGTAAGAAAGACTCCATCAAAATTTTAGCCCAAAGGGTTCAATATGTAGAGAACTATCTCGGTGAGCTTTGTAAATTCTGCATGTGTGTAGAGTTCATACTTTAAATCGTGTAACTCAATAAAAAGGGTTTAATTTAAAGATATTCCTTTAAAGGGCAACTCCAATCAATACTTATTTTAATTTGGGAATATTACAGTTTTCAGCTAAAGCAGTGTCCCTGAATTACAAGGTATAATTTTGTTTTCTGATATTGTGTGTAGTTTTATAAATATTGCAACTCAAAAGTTTGGTTTTGGGTGTCTACAGCAAAACCGAAACCTTCTGTCAGAGGGATGGCAACACTGATCATCAGTCGTACGGCCACAACGTGACGTCACCGTGGTGCTGCAGTATGTGGTACAACCAATCAACCGCAGCCCCATCGCGACGTGACGTCACGGGGGTGCTGTGCCAACGTCCCTTGACTAAAAGCTAGCCAGCTCGCCACTCACTAAAGAGCAGTTGGTCGCTTCTCTAGAATCGGCTGGAGTATGTGGGTTCACTTTGACGTAATATTTCGGGTGTGATCATGTCTCGTACCATAAAACGATACCAATCATTTATTTTGGTTTCGTTTTCGACCGGAGTTGCCCTTTAAGAAGGGGTTGTGATAGCTACATAGGTTCTGTTTCCATCATGTACTTATGGGGCCCGGTGGACATTGGCGGCAGGAGAATTGTAACAATAGGTTGGATAATTCGCTAGAATTTGTTAATTCACTTTTTAATTAAGGGTTAGATGAGTCATCTTACAATACACTTTTAAAGGCAGTCATTATCAGAGACAAAATCAATTTACACAATTTGCAAAAAGGAAATGTGCTTTGAGATATTCCTTGACCAGTTTCGTATTTTTGTCGTCAGATTCCGAATTTGGACACGGAAACAGCGCCGGAAGTCCTGCCCACAATAAAGCTTTGAAAAGTAAAAGTGACATAGGTAGTCGTTTCAGTCACACTGTCAACATCTCGGCAGTGCGTCCTTAGGGGATGTCTGCATTGAGTGTCGGAATTGTGCTTAGTGTTGTTTCAGGATCTTCTTGTAAAAATGTGCCTCGTCCGCCATAGGTGGGAAAGGCCATGGGACCACCAGCGCCTGGATAAGAGTCTTGCAGGCAAGTTGATGAGCCAACTCATTACTGGCAATCCCTGTGTAGCCTGGCACCCACACCACCACGACCGAGCCAGGGGAAAGTTGTGAAAGGGCGAAGGAGAGCTTTACACCACTCAAAACCCCCGCCCGACTTTTTCTCTCATTTCAGATTAGATCCCTCCTGCCCCAATTGCCCCTGCCCCTACGTAAACATTGAGCATTTCCTGTCTGCGTGCCCCACAGCCATCTGATCTCCCCACTAACCCAACCCCCCTCCTCCTCCACACTGGCTTGTGTGGCTGGCCTCGGCGGCTCACGCAGATCAGCTGGCTCTGGTCCGCTTCGCGGAGGAACACCTCTAGGGTCTTTATTTGACCCTCAATGAAGTCATTTCTCTCTTAGAAGACGCACAGGCGGCTTGACTGCCGAGATAGTGACGAGGTGCAAAACACGAGTCTGTCCCTCCCATACCCATGAACGAGGAAACGGTTTGCGGAGCTTTTCTGCATAAGATGTCGGAATCGGGCAACAGTAGGAAAATCGATTGCTGAATATCTCAAAGCCTGTAGCCTTTTTGCAAAATCTTTAAATTGGTCTAGCCAATAATAGTAATTGGCATGAATACTGCAAGTGCAACCAGACCCATCAAAGCATCAACTAAAAAGTTAATTTCAGTAAATTAGCCTACTGATCATGATGGTTATCCTCCCACCTAATGTCTGACAAGCCCCACAAACACACAATGAAGACGGCATCCCTGTAACAGTCGCCCCCTTCTCTTTTTAAATCTTTTTAAATTCAAAGACATCCTGCTACTTGCAGTACAACCCACTTTTTAGCTTCATTTCGGGGATTGGATTGGCAACATAAATGCAAAATCGCATACTCCTAACTGACAACAAAGCAGCTTCCAGTGACTTCACCTACTAAGAAGGCTAACAAATGTTAATAATAATAATAAAAAAAAAGAGGCCGCATCTCCAAGTGGTGAATGATGTTGATTGGGGCGAAGCTCTGGTGGTGCTGATGATACTGATTTTATTGTTCATAGGTAGTGCTGATGGTGCTGATTTTTTTTTTTTTATTGCTCACAGGTGGTGCTGAGTTCCGGGTTGCGTTTCAACTTCATTATTACTGCTTTATGGTCGGTGAAATGCAGAGCCAGTGGTTCTTCTAGCGGATCAGCCTGGATCTGCTAGAAGCTGTGGGAATGCATCTCCACCGCGTAAGTCAACGGTCCATGTCAGAAAGAGAATGTGTGGTATGGATCGTGGTTATATACGCAGTTGAGCATTTGACCGCAGCGCCCTCTCGTCTATAAACGTTGAGCCAATGCATGCAAAGTTTAACGCGATTATATACGCATCTGACCGCAGTGCCCTCTCCTCTATAGACGTTGAGCGGCTACATGCAACGTAGGAGCGTATGTTTGTTGTTTTTTAAAGTGGGCCGATCCCGGAGGCAGTGCAATCGATGTGAGCACGGACACCGGACGGATGGACAAGGCTAGACCCTAAGGAGCTTCGCCCCTAATAATAATATTTATTTCAGCTTAGGAAAGCCACAATACAGCAGAAAGGTTGGAGCCCATACCAGCGTAGGCCTGCTGTGCCGTTGAAGATAGGCGATGATGTAGGATACTATAGATAGACATAATGATTAAAATGTTACTGGAATTACTTGCGTTGGTGTCCCCTGAATTTGTATAAGAGCATGCGCACCAAGAGGCTCCCCCTTTCTTTTTACCCCAAACAATGCAACACATAAGTCGAGCTCTTCAACCCATAACTATGATATCTAGTAAGAATGAAGGAAATGCATCATCTTTCTCTCTTTATCCGGCCATACAAGAATAAAGCAAAACAAATGTCAAACATACCTGGGAAATTGAGCGTTGCAGTGGTAGATGTACCGAGGAACCGCTTCACTATCCTGCACAATGTGTTCATATTTCTTGCCAATGTCTGCTCGGATTTTCTCCACGAGCAAGGGACCTGTGGGAAAGAGAAAGCCGAAGATTAGCAACTTCAAATACAACAAGAAACAAACACCTTAACTAGCAGACTAGTGCACATCCAACACCAAGATTTGCGAATTCACATGAAATGGAAATGTTTGGAAACCAACGCAATGCGGTGCAAGACATAAGCATGCAGGTTGCTTTGACAAGTAGACATACATGTACAGAATCCATAAATGAGAATAATCCAAGACCAAGGATCACATAGAAAGGGGGGCAAACCCACACGGGGTCTCAAATAGAGCTCAATGTTTATTAATCCGACAACACAGCAGAACCGTCCTTCCTTCCAAGGAGATGCATACCACCCAGGAGGTCGAAAAGCTATCAGGCGAATGTTTCCCCTCACAAACATATAAGCACATGCCTGCCACAGCACAGTGCTTGTAAGTCTGCTTGGGACTACTCCCCCACCTTCCCCCTTTTCTCACATCAACAGTTCAAACTAGCTCTGTCCCTGAGGCAACTCAACTGCCCAGAGGGCAGATACCCTTCTACTACTATGTTTCACCACACAAATGCTCCCACACACAAGTACATATGCTGCCAGTTGGGCAACAGACGGCTTCTGCTAATCCCTATAACCCTGAAAGTCTAGCCGACAGAACCATCTGGCAAGCTCGACCGTGGCCGTCTCCTTTCCTATGTGTTCCTCAGTTTCAGGTTATTGTCGATAGGAATAGCACCAGCTAGCTTGTTTTCTAAATATTATTATAGTTATATACACAATGTTTTGTCTAAAACTGAAATTTACAAAAACCACAATTGAAATAGAGAAATGCTTTGTTTATATAAGTTATCGGCTGTGGCGGATGCCAGGACTTGAGTGATACGATCATTAGCAAGTTATTTGCCCAATATTAACTAATTAACTCATTAAATATTTGTCTTAGAATGCAAGTTCCAATCAGAGACTTGCAGCCCTCCTTCAAAGCTTGCCATAGCAGCTGTCAGCTTTCAAAAAACTAAATTCTGCTTCGTGCAATTTTAGCGGTGAATTTAAGCCGCTAAAGGCAGGAGATTGCCTACTATGCGCATGAGTGAAAAGAAGTTCCACCACGAAGGGATTTAATCACTCAGTAGCATAGGGGAATTCAAAAAGGGTCACACTTAGTGCATTCCTAGTACAGTCTGCTGCAACATAAGACGTGGAGAAGTCTCCCTCCCCCTGCTGTCCCCTCTCCTCCCCTCCCTCCTCCTCCTCCTCCTCCTAAAATATAACATAAAATAAAATAGGTTGGAGGCCAAAAAACGACAGATAAAAGTTAGCGCGGTCCGGGCATTCTTTCTCCTTGCCCCCTCATGCCTTTTGTACTGTTACATTTTCCTTGCAAGTTCTGCACACAAAACCTTGCTTTTATGCTCTGGAGCAGTGGTTCTCAAATGGGGGTCCGCGAAGGCATTCTGGGTGTCCGTGAAGCCATGCCTAATGAATCAAGCCCGGCAATAAAAGTTGTCTTTTTTCAGATGGAGAAGGAACATTCTAAATTTTGGGTGACTTTTTTCGCGTGTATATGTTAATAAGAGAAATTTACTTCACACAGTCCTTAGTTATATCCATTTATGAAATCATTAACGTAACTAATATATACCTTTCCCTTCCCCTCACCACGAACGGGGTCCTCCATCATCTTTGCCAATCCACAAGGGGTCCGCGAAACATCAATGGTTTAGAACCACTGCTCTGGAGCATGAAATTCACTCCCTTGTGACCATTAAATACAAAGGAGTCAACAATTCTTGTGACGAGCAGAAAATAAGAACAGAAAAAGTGCAAAATTTGGCAATTCAAAAAGATATCTAAAGGCACCTGCCAAAGATTTAGAAGACAAGCACAGAAAACTCTAATCCCAATTTGCAACCAAAAATCTTCACAAAAAAGCAGACCAGTGGGACATGGTGGATGCCCACTGTGTAAACTCGAGAGAAGGGAACATTAACGGGAATGTCGACCGTTGCAATGTTTTATAATTCACCAACTATTTTAGCAAGATTACAAGATTGTTTGGGAGAAAACAAAGATTAAGAACGATCACGAGACTGTCATTGTAGAGTGCAACCTCGGGACAAACAACCAGATCAACGCTTGGAGCTTACCCTGCTACTAATAGGTTATCCCACTTATTGTTGACCGATACATCAAAAAGTCATGTCCGTGGTTTGATGAATGCACGAGTCAGTGAAAGGAAGTGGTAAAGCGACGTCTAGTCACGAGTCCCCCCCCTCTCCCTAGCAAACATTATTTGTCCACATTTCTCCGCTTTTCTAGTCTAGATGAATTCCCCAGAGAAATTCGGCCGTTTCCTATTGGAGGGCAGACAGCACGCAAGTCTCACCCTCACGATAGCCGTACCCTTTATGCTCTTATTTCTTGGTTTTTGCGCCGCAATTACAAGCCCCAAAAATTGGATGCTACATCCTCTTTTGACTGAACTTCAATCTCAATATACTGACATCACCTATTACATCAAGAGTTTCTTGCATGTCCCTGAGACAACATTTTCCACATTAATTGTAGTTCTTTATATAGTCCCCTACATCTCCGTCCGTGCACTACGTATAATTCAGTTACTACACTTGCTTTCGATGCGTGCAATAGTTTAGGTCATCCTAAACTATTAAATTATTAAACATTCTCAATTAATGAAGTAAATGCACACAAACAAACATCACAAGTAAAAATTATGTAGTAAATGTGTGCAAACACAAAGGGTACATCCTAAGGTATATGTCTTTCTTTGAGCTAATTACACCTTTTTTTTTTTCCCCTCTAATACATGAAATTATTTTACACACAAAGAGGTTACAGAATGAAATTTTAAATTGGAACATTCAAGTAATCCTTGTATTTCTTTTAGAAGTTGCATCACATATGTGAAGATTAGAACATAATCATATTTTCAATGCTGAGTAAGTATGCACTCCTAAAATTAGTACAGAGGTACACACTCACATAACTACCATTGAAATTAAGATTTCTATCACCCCAAATGCAGCCACTGTTCTGAGACACATGGCTGTCTGTTTTGTAGCCCAGTTGTCTTATCTGGGCACAGCTGGACAGATGATCAAGCCTGTCACACAGAGAGGCTTCTGATGAATTGCGAGAAAACCGAGAAACTTAGCGGAGAAAATGAATTTGTGTATAGGTCATGCGACGTCAATTCGCCCATTAAATTTAGCGGGGAAACTGAATAGGCCTTTCGCAAAGCATGTAGCGTCGTCCGCGGCGCTGAAAGGAATGCTAGGAAACCAACTGGTTGTAGCAGAAGACAGAGGCAACCTTGGAGGCGACGGCGACTGGACAAAAGCAAGCGAGCAACTGCGCTATCCTCTCCCTCTCCTCAGTGTTACGTGGGTCAAGGAAGAGTCTACAGTACTTTGCACCCGACCTTATAGGATTTTTGCTAAAGGTCTACTGGTGTATAGGCCATGTGACATTTTTTTCCCAGTTAGGGAAATGAGCAGATGGACAGACGAAATTACAGGATTAAGCAGTTCCGTTAAAAAACACTCCATGCTTCAAAAAGTCAATCAATCAATCAATCAGTCTGCTACCCCACCCGGCCTAGACCTACGCACCCCAGGGTCCAGCCACGCGCAAGGCCACCAATGGGTTGAAGGGGCTAAGCAGGGTGGAAACGGCCCGCACCCAGGTGGGCAGCTGCAGGGCTTTGGGTGACGGCACCCGACGCTCGGGGAACCCCCACGGGTCTGCCAGCACCAGGTGCGCCACCCTCTCGGGAAAGCGCAGCGCATACGAAGCTGCCAGAAAGCCGCCCATGCTGTGGCCCAGCAGCACAAAGCGGTCCAGGCCTACCTGGGCACGCCACTCCTCCAGACCTGCGTTGGAATCGGCAACACTCTTTGGCCGCCGGCCAAAACAAGGAGCTCACGTCAGGAGGAGACGCCACTCTAGTCCGCACTCCTCTCGCGCATTTGTCTTCCCGCGCCGGTGTAATCCGCATTTGCCTCCTCGGATGAGCATTGGAGGCGTTTAGCGGGCGTTACGACGCCAAGTGGCACAAAAGAGGGAAGAGGCAGATGCCCTATTCTGATGGCAGACAACAAACTGGACACTCTCGACGAATTCAGCAGAGTAAAAGAGGGAAAGGGAACGCACTTGATCCCGATGGCAGACGACAAACCAGCCGTTCTCAACACTTGGGCAGTTGCGGTGGGCTGTGCCGCCGGAACTGCCCCAACATCCCGGTTCCGTTTCTCTCTCTCCTTCGACCCAAGTGGAACGGTCCACAGTCGCCGACGGAATGAGAATGACGGGGTATTGTCTTTTGAATGCCTGGCCTACAGCACGTGCTCCGTGCCTTCCGCCGCGCTTTGGTGGCACGTGCAGGCTCGAGGTGCATGAGAAATTGAAGCACTATCGAAAGTAGGAAGCTCGCACTGGAGGCAGGACAACCGAAGCTCTTCCCCACCGTTCTCACCTTGTCAGTAACCTTAGGGGTGTGTGAATGGCGGTGCAAATCATATAGTGCCGCGTCTACCATAGTTTTCCCAGTGCAAAGAAGAGCCATTACATACCATCTCTCTTACAGTGTTGAAGCTAGCAATGACAATGCACCATTCGATTTGAAGCAGTAGTCACTCGCCCCTACCTGCTACCCTCTTTGGGGACGTGTTTTTGTCATTGTAATTTCAGACAGTACTTTAATAAGCGCAAGTGTGGCTGGGACTATATTTCGACAGAAAAAGAGACACGACTGATTTCGCGTATCGCCTATCCTGTTTAACTCTTTCCGTGCTACGCCTATCGGACGTCGGTTACCCGTGGTCAACGAACTCAACACGCCGCCAAAGTCACGTTGCACCATCTCGAAGAATGGCCAAGGAACTACAACTTTGGTTTCGATTTCGGTTTGCACTTTCTACCAAGCTGCTGAGCTAGCAAAAATAAATCTCTTCGCGACGGTGGCACTTGTCGAATGCGGCGTCTGCTGACACTGGGGGACCGCTACAAAGATGGCCTCAATCACACAATTTAACTGCTTTTGCTGATTTTTTTTTTTTTTTTTCTTTTTTTGGATGACAGCAGCAGTGAGGGTTGTGGATGATATTGGATCATTTAATTCGAGCTTCTATAGCGATGTTTCATCTCCAAGGCACAGAATGTCGACAGGTACTCGTTGAAAGGCGTTGTTCTAGCTTTCGAAGCTGTCCTGAGCCGGGGCACACATTTTGTGTGTGCTGCAAGCGATAAAAACACCAGCAGAGAAGAAGTTAGAGCAGTGCTATAACAAACCAAGATTTTTTCAGGATGTTTAAAACTCGAGACGACTGTGGCGAGTGAAAAAATATAAAACTTTGAAGTCAAAGAAAAATTCACAGGAGAAGACGTCTCAAATGCAGCTAAAGAGTTTATTTTCTTTTGCTCCTTATCTACCCCCATAGACACCAACAACTCCTCTCCCTAACGTACACTTCATTCACAATGCACCGATTGGACTCTTAGGTACACATGTATCAGTGTATAGACATCTCCAAGAGGTCATTCGGTGACTTATTCATAAGTACCAAGGGTCCAATCGGTGCATTGTGAAAAAAGTGCATGTCAGAGAGAGGAATTGTTGGTGTCTATCAGGGGTAGATAAGGAGCGAAGGAAAATAAAAGATTTAGTTGCATTTGAAACGTCTTGGCCTGTGAATTTTTCTTAAACTTCAAAGTTTCCTATTTTTTCTCTCACCACAGTGTCGGGTTTTAAACATCATGATTAACTGTCACCAGCTCGCCTGCACACTCACCATCTTTTATCAAGATTTTGTGCAAAAAAAAAAAGGAGTCCTCCAGAAGACATGCATCTCTGCATGTAACAGCATCTCTGAATGGCATGATGCCACGGAAGCACACTTACCAAGAATTAAAAAAAGACAGTATCCCCTAGAGCTTTGTAACTTACAGAAGTGATACTAGTGTATGGGGCACATTTTGTATATTAAGGATTTAAAAAAATCATAGTATGACTTAATATAGCCGCAAATATTTACATGGTAACACAGGAGTGGGGGAAAAACGTGACAAAAAGATTTCTGAAGCTTTGTGCAGCCCGTCCCGTTTTTTCCGCCCCTTGGTTACCATGTCAGTATTGAACCAGTTCTCTTGCACACTTGCTTTAGTTGCAAATATTTAGACTTTTTGTTGTCATGTTTGCACAAATTCCAATCAGCAATTAAATTTTACGAACTTTTTTTAAATGTTAGTATAAACCTATTTTTTCTTCTAAAGGGCAGCTTATAGGCTACATTGTGAAGTATAATAGAAGCCACATGCTGAATAGTTCTCAAAAAAAAAAATTATGTCCATCCCTCAAAGGTTACCACTTTCCCTGTGGTACAGAAAGAGTTAAAGGACACATGCAAGGGAAAAAAACATTTTTTTTAAACAGCTTAGATAGAAAAAGGATATCATGAAACGATTTTACAACAACGAAAAAAAATTTTAGAGCTATATTTACGGCGCTATACGAATTTGTAGTTGGCGCTCCCGGGAGCCGCCGCTGGTCACGTGGTAGGCCCGCGCGCCGCCGCGCTGCGTCGCCGCCGCACGCTGAGCGTTGTGCGAACGCCGCTTCAACGCGTTTCTCCACGCCGCCGTCGCCGCCGCCGCCGCACAAGTTCGTCTGCTTCGGGGCGCGCCGCCGTCGTCTGACCGGCGCACAGGTCTATCACGTCTGCTTGCGCTTTTTCAGGAGTTTCCTTTGGGCTCTAAAAGTTACTTATTCATCTTTGTTTTTTGTTATACTTCAAACAAAGATGAATGAGTTACTTTTAGAGGCCATAGGAAGCTTTCGAAAGAGCGCAAGCACCACGTGACAAATATGGGCCCGTCACGTGATAAACAAGGGCCACTTTTCCGCGGCGCCCGCCGGCGCCAACTACAAATTCGTATAGCGCCGTAAATATAGCACTAAACTTTTTTGTTTCTTGGTTTTAAATCGTTTTATATCCTTTTTCCATCTAAGCTGTTTAAAAAAATGTTTTTTTCCTTTGCATGTGTCCTTTAAAGGGGTACTCCACCGATTTTTTGAGCTACCTCAACTAACTATATTTTCTGACTCCCCGGCCTTTACTCTCTCCGGTATGCTATTCAGAATCGCGAAATTCATAATAGTTATTGCGAAATCTGCAAATGAAAATGATGCAAAAACCAACATTCAAATATACGCACGCTTTTCAGGGCCGTAACGTCAGTGGCAGGCAGGCTTGCCAGTCGAGCAAGCAGCCAAAAAATAGAATATGCCGATCATTTGCTCCATACTGGAGCGCGGGTACTGCAGCGAGCTTCCCAAGCATTCATTTGACACCATGAAACTGCTTCGAATCAGTTTAAAACAAAATCTACAGCCCAAAGAGTGAACCCCTGCCTTCCACTGACGTCACTTTTTCACTGTTGCCAGTAGAGACTTCGAGCTTGAAAAACACGGTGAGGACCAAAACTGTAAATTCAATAACTTTGCGAAAAAACAATATTTTGACTTAATATTTGGGATACTATTTTCGCGATGTTTGTTGGTTAGTTTAGCGAAATTTCATGCAAATCTGAGACAATGAAAAAATCGGTGGAGTAGCCCTTTAAAGGGGCCCTGCAAGCACTTTTACTGCTTTTTACTTTGCACCGAACCTGAGCACACTGAATGTAGTAACTTAATGAAACTTTTCTTTTCTTGAATTTCGCTTTATTTTAAAAGTTATAGGCAAATTAAAGTTACAAAAACAAGCAAAAAAATAACCTCCTTCATGACGTCCTTGGTTGCTTGAGTGGCCGTGAACTAGAGGAGGGGTATAGTGAGCTCATCGAGCGCTCACGGCTGCCGCACTCCATGTCGACGGCGCGAGAGGGCGCCACTAAAGCAGGATCTGGATACGCTGTATGCAGCGGGCAACCAGAGCGGCTCTCATTGCATTTGCTGCGCGATTAAACACTAATTCGGCATGACACTTCATTGGCCACAAACGACAGCAAACACGGGGTAAAGATCAGATCAGAATGGGAGCCACTTCGCGCTGCCATACCACGAAACGGCCAAACTGCAATACAAAGCTGCTCGCCGAAGGCCTTCGGAACGCTTGGAGCCGGTCGGATCCTCCAGTCCGTGAACGACCGCAGAGCCGCCGCGTACATCCGGGACCTTCCCGTGTCGGCGCCTGATCCCACTACTCCTTTCTAGTATGCACCGCCTTTTCCACCGCTTGGTGGCGGGTATGTCAAAGGGTCATTTCTTGTTTCCGTACTTTATAAACTGCATTTGTTTCTTTTCTCATCTAAAATACTGAACAAAAACTACTTTCATAAATAATTGAAACGGTTCGCGCCACTTATATTTTGTATTTTGACTAAAAAGAAGCTTCTAGCGGCTCCGACCAGTAGTAAGCCCAGGACCAAAGACGTCACATTTCGCGCGCTTTCGGAACCGCGGGTCGCCCCCGGCGGTGGAGGAGATTTCCGCGTCGCCCGGTGAAAATATGATGCACTGATATTTAATTTAGTTACTCTCTCCGTACCCGCTGGCTTGCCCGAACCCCAAGAGACGTGGAAACCGCAAAAAAGGTAGACGCTTAAATATGATTGCAGGGCCCCTTTAAGCAAACAATTTATTCAGCCTGAATATCCTTATATCTACGCAGATTTGTTGCATAAGGTTGATTATACATTCCGAAATCTACAGCAGTACACTGCCATTTCTTTTATTTTCATAGCTTTGCCTCAAAGTTCACTCAGCTGACCAGTAGATTTTGCTAGACTAGTAACTCAAACATCATGTCAAAATATTTTTTTTTTGCTTTATTTTGGTTACTATTTTTTTTTTTAACTGAAAGCTTCTACTGGCAACACTTAAAACGTGATGTCGGCAGCAAGCACAGCTATAGTTTGGGCAGTAAAGCTTGTTCCCAAGTGATTATAAGAAGTTTGATTATGTGAAATGAATGCTGTAAGCTCACTTTAGCACTCGTTCAGCAGAAGGAAAAAATATGAGTGAGATCCTGTTTTCTGGACTGGCTGCACATGCTTAGTGCCAGTGAGGGCTCACCCCTGCAAAGCATGGGAGCTTCATTGTTGGTGCCGATATCGCTTTTATTTGACACGTTCTCTACAGCTATTCTGAATTCAGCAACACTAAACAGTATGCTGGGAGGAGTAAAGCCCAGGTCAGGCACGTCGCCAGGGGGGCGGCCCATGGGGCCCGGGCCCCGCCCCAAAATTCCCTTCCCCCCCCCTCCCCCCTCCCCTTCCCCCCTCCCCCTCCCCCCCAAAAAAAAAACTCCTGGTTACGTGCCTGGCCCAGGTATTAATAAAATGTAGTTGGTTCGGGTAGCTAAAAAATCGGGGGAGTACAAATTTAGGCATGCATCAAACTGGAAATCTCAAACAAATGAAGGACAACAGAGGAAAACAAATTGCTAGCTTACTTTGTACAAATTGGTACTCCGCTTCCAACGAGTCACTGGACAGTCGCGGACGTGAACTCCTGCCGAAGCCCAGGGTGTCAAAACTGTACACCGTGCGGTCCTCGCTCAACTTATCGAGGTTGAGCAGCCAGAGCGCCACCCCAGATGCAAACCCGTGCACAAGTACCAGAGGCACACGTTCCTCTCCTGGCGGGGGCTCGTTGGTGGGCCCCATCTCAATGGTCCTTATCTGATGACTGCCCTTGCATTTCAGGATCGAGTCTATCGTAACAAACTTGGACTGGAATGGCTTCTTCACATCTGCAGAGAATGCAAGGGAACATACACAACAGTACATAAATCAAAACTGCTGCCAACACAGAATGTGCTTGATATTACAGCTGTGCTGTCAAGAAGAAGCACGAGTTCCTTCTCAATATAGTTCCCTACCATTGGTCCACATTACTGTACATGCTAGAACCAATGGTGGTTAGTCATTCAGTAAGGCCATGAATCCAAACACACCAATGCAGACTGTGTTAGTGAAATGCATTTGACTTCAGCAAAAACCACAAAGACAGCTTTGAATATCAATCAGCCTTTTACTAAAAGAGGCAAGTATTTCATGCCCTGAAAAAGGCTGGTCCCTTCATGAAATGTATTCTACCTTTCAACTGAATGTCCCTACCTTGAAAAGCACCTGAGCCAACAGAGGTAAACAAACCAAGAACCAGAAGGGCCACCCTGCTAGTTAAGCCAGCCCATAGTGTTAGGAGTCCAGAGAAGCGAGGCCAGGTGAAGAGGTCCCACTGCCATCAGAGGTGGCGTTCACTCACAGGCAAGAAGTCGTCTCTCAGCCTCCTCCAGCCGCTCACTGGAGGTGGGGCACCAGCGCAAGTACTTGGAGATCCAGCTGGGAACAAGGTCAAGCAGGGTGCTCAACAGGGAGTCCAACAGGAGGCAAGCATGCTTCAGCAGCCACAACCTGCACCCACCACATCACCGCCCAGCAAAATCACTCGCCGCTCCAATGCATTAATAGCCAAGGGAGCAAATGAAGCGGCGTCATGGGCCCCTCCCAATACCGAGTATTTGTGATGCCATGTGCCAAATGAGGCCCTAAACATTATTCACCGACAGTTTTAATCGCACCATAGGAGCAGAATTTTGACGTGGGTTTAGCTACCGCAATATCCCGAAAGATGGCCCAGCTAAAATCGAGAGAAAATTGGACTAAATGAAGAATGGGCTAACTTTCAGTGTGCGATCAAGAAAAACTGGGGGAAAAAAATGCTATTTTTGTATTCTGGGATCTGCCAGTTGTTAACACATTGGGGGGCAATGAAGCATATAGATGACTGTTCTCTCCAGACAGCAATGTTTGCTTATCTCCCGCCTAGCTAACCCCCTTTTGGCCAAGGTCACCATTGGCCCGGGCACTGCAATGACTAGAAGTGGGTTATCCTTCCGTGTTTTTGAAAAACAAAAAGCAAATCATGCCAAAAATGGGAACGGGCGGGGGGGGGGGGGGGGGGGGGGGGGGGGGGAAGAGGGGGGGATATATTTTGGGGGTGGGTCATCTCTTAGAATATTATGGTATGTTTATCAGGGGGTGCCCCTGTCACACAGCCTCTTTCTACTTTTACCGCTTGCATGCTGAACCTTGCAGCATGCAAGGTTCAGCATATGCTTCAGGAAGCACTGTCGAGCAGTGAAGTGAATGATATAGCCGTGCTAGTGAAATTTCATACGTTGTTTAAGTTCTCGCACAATCCACAAGCTCTAGCAATATCTCCCCCATACACTTGTGACTGGAGTAAGCTGGCACAAGAGAGCACATGGCAGACATGGAAAAATCACTGTGCAAAGATACCAGATGTGCCACCAGCCTCCCTAAGCACAAAAGGTGAGCTTGTATCACTGGCCGGCCTCCTACCCTCGATTATACCTAGTAATCTGGCGGGCTACACAGCTATTTTATCCAACCACCATCAGCTTGCCAGTAAGAGTTCAAATCGTTGTATCTGTAAGTTCCGTGAGATGGACACATCAGTTTTGAACTATGCATGCCAGTGATGATCTGGAAAATGGTATGAAGTGGCAAGGTGGTGGGTGTGTCCAGACAGAATGGAAGAGAAGCCAATATGCAACCCAATTTGTAAACACTTAGTAAACTTGGGCATAGACCCCATCCCCAATTATGGAAGAAAACAAAAATAAAATTACAACCACGTTTTTGTTCCCCTAAACATTGTTCCTGTCACCGAAGCTGAGAAGGCCTCGATGAATGCCACTTGCTTTGCATTCATGATCCAATAGATACCTTGGAAGGAGGTCATAAGGCTTATATTATAGCAAGTTCTGTTGATGCCATATTACCTTCAGCGTTTCCTTGGCACTGGAGGACTTGGCACTCACGACAAACAAGAAATTATGGCCTACACCACATGCAATGTGTCAGATACAAACAACAGGGCACTTTTTTTTTTATAATGCAGTTAAGTGCTGGCAGGACAGGCTTCCATGTTATGAAGGACCACTGGGGGAGGTTGGTGATGAACAAAAGGGATTCACCTGGTACTAGACTACCAGTGTGGCAGATGAAATTATGCTAGTGTACTTGGATGGATGGATGGATGGATGTTATTGGCTATACCCCTTGTAACGGGCGGTAGCTTGTGCCACCTAGCCCAAGTCTTAAAAGACAAAAACATATGATTCCTCCCACCCTTCTAAGACCAATTTTCTCCCCCTAACTATCACCAGGCAGTGTGAGATATCACTAGGATGACCTTCGGGGGATTGGGCAAAAAAAACTAAAAACATCACCCCCTGGCTCTTCCACCCGGCGAGGGAGTCGCCGATTTTCCTCTGGTCAAACCTTGTCAACGTTACTCCAGTACCGGACCCACTGGGAGACAGGGTTGAGACTTGGGGCCGGAGCCACGCGGGAGGGAGACCCAATTTTCCTCTGTCCCGCCTGTCCCCAGCTGTGCTAGTTAGTTGTCCATAATTCAATTTTCCCTAGATAATTTCCACCAATCTTCTAATCACCTCTTTGTCACCGTAATCCTTTTCTCTTCTGTCCTTCCATCATCGTCAGTAAAACCCAAGGCACCAGCCAAATTCGTTACACCTTTAGGGAGGGCAGGGTGAAGCCCCGTGCACTTCAAAACCAAGTGCTCTAGTATCTCGCTATCATTATGGCAGGCGGCACATAATGTGTGTCTCCTGAAATTTAGCCCTATACGTCCTCGTCCTCAAAACTCCCGTTCTCGCATCGAACAGCAAAGAACTTCCCAGTGAATTGTCAAACACATTTTCCTTTCTCATTTCCTGCTTTCGTGACCTGTTCACTGTTAGAGCTGATTTCTCCTGCATTCTTCCCTCCTACATTTTCTCTGCCTCTTTCACCCCCTTTTTCACTTAAATCACTTAAGTAGTCTGTTCGACCCCATCACCAGTGTGTAGGTATTTAAATGTAAGCTTTCGGGTTTGGTCTGTCCATTTTGTGTTTAAACTTTTCATGTATTTCATGTATATTTACTTGAAAACCTTTTGTGCGCACCACGTACCATCCATTTCAGTCAACCTTTGTTCAAATTTCAACTTACTAATTGCCTCCCTGCTCTCAAAAGACGACCATCCCATGTACCCCTGTACTCCCTCATTTGGTGTTTTTCCATGTGCCCCCAGTGCCAATCTGCCTACACTTCTTTGTTGAATTTCTAATCCCGATTGAATCTCCGATTTCATGCAGAGTACTCCATTGCCAAAAGACAGTCCTGGTACAATTACTCCTTCCCATATACCTCTGACCACTTCATATCTATTTCAGTTCCATAGTGCCTTGAGCTTCATAATAGATGAATTTCTTTTCCCTTTTCTAATTATATTCTCCTGATGTTCCTCTAGATATTTCCTTCCCTCGGTGAGCCAGACTCCGAGATATTTGTATTTTCCTACATGGTCTATTAGAATGTCTTGTATCGTCAGAGGTTCCCTATTTTCGTTGTTAAACAGCATTACTTCAGACTTGTCACTACTAAAACTCATGCCCAAGGCGTCCCCTTCCTCTCCACACATTCCAGCTAGTTCTTGTAATGTATCCTGGTTATCTGCCATGAGTACTATGTCAACCGCATATATCAGTCCTAGTACTACCTCTACTACATTTCTCGACATCTTGTAAACCCTGAGATGGGGAACGATAAAAAAACGGACGAACACACTCTATTACTGCTTACAATACATTTCTCCCTCCCTTCCATATAACTCGCATCAAAACCTAAGTTGCACTGCTCTAATTTCTTTTCCACTTTACTGAGATATATCATGACGAGCAGAGGGGACAGTGGACACCCCTGCCCAAGTCCTCTTTTTATTGCTGCGGGTTATGTAGTTCCTGCTTCCCATGTTTTAACTACCTTATTGTCTGTCTACACATGCTGGAGAAACCTAACTAAATTTGTATCTAAATTATGCTCCTTCAGCTGACCCCAGAGTTTTTCCTGGCTCACATTATCGTACACTCCCTTGATGTCCAAATAAGCTAACCATAAAGGAGTTTGGTTCTTCAGTACTATTTCTATACACTGAGTGGTGATGAATAAGTTATCTTCCAGTCTTCTAGCATTTCGGAATCCATTTTGAAGCTCGCCCAGTATTTGCATATCTTCTGTCCATTGCTCCATTCTACGCTTCACTATCTGCATAGCTAATCTGTATAGAACTGAAGCTACCGTTATAGGGCGATATGATTTAATGCGGTCTTTGTTTCCTTTGCCTTTATATATTAGTCTCATTTTACTTAGTTTCAATTATTGGGTACCTCTCCTCCCATAATTACTTGGTTAATCACAGACTTCAATCGACTTCAATTTGCTTGTTTTTCCTAGTGCCTTTATGAGTTCCATGGATATGTTGTCTGGGCCTGTCACTGTCCCTGTTGAAACCTTACTTTCTGCCTTGTCCCATTCTTTCGAAGTCGTCTCCATGGTTACACAATTCTGTTCCTCCTCAACACTGCTGCTGGCCGCGCTATTCGCTGTCTCCCTCTGCTCAAGCTGGGAGAAAGCCTCTTCAATTGTCTGCCTAATATACTCACGTGCCTCTTCCCCCTCTACTCTTCTCCTCTCCTGTGTGGTCAGTAAGTGTTGGACACCCACTGTCTTTCTCCCCTGCACTTTAATATGCTTTCAAACCTTTTTGCCGCATTCCTATCTTCTTTATTAATTTCCATCATCCACTGCACTCCTGCACTTCCAATTTTGGCCTGTATTAAAGCTGATGCTTCCCATTTCCGCTCTTGGAAGTTCTCCCATTTTGATGCTACTTCAGCTGGCAAGGCTCCCCTTTTCTTTGCCCACCTATGCTCCTTAGATGCATCTTAGTGCCGCAATATGGTTGCTTTGACCTCCTTATCCCACCAGCTTCTTGGTATGTGTCTTTGTTTTTGCTTTCCTCTTTGTCTAAATTGATGCTTCTCTAATTCTTTTTTAAAGATTCCTATTAGATCCTCATACATCCACCCCCTTTCTGGTTCTTCAGATTCTCTGTTCTCAATGCTTTTCAATACTGTATTTGAGCTTCACTTAGTTTCGGCATACCCATTCGTTCCTGAGCTTGCTGTTCTGGTTTGGATGCGAAAAATTTGATCTTAATTTGTTTGTGGTCACTCCCTAAGCTTTTTGTACCTTCCTCATCTATTTCCAGACTTGTTAACCTGTCATACAGTTTGTGAGACATAAGGCAGTAGTCTATTGTTGAGTGTGAGTTGTTTCATTCCCACATCATTTTGCCATCGCATTTTACTTGTGCATTAACTAACACTAGGTCCAAGGCATCACACAAATCTTCTAGCAGCTTTTGGGTTGTATCTGTGAATCCGTCAAACTCTTCTAAGTGGACATTTATGTCTCCTATAATAATTATTTCCTGATAAAGGCCAATTTCTCTGATGTCTCTTGACATACATGTAAAGTGTTCTGTATTTTCCTCCCTTGAGTAATGTCCTGTTTTCAGGTAAGAAAACTCCCGAAGTGTGTTCAGAGCTTTTACTTTACCTTTCAGTCAGAAGTGTTCTCAGCAGCTTTCCTTCCCTCTTTCCCAGTCTTGTCCTCTAACTTACATGCCTAGACCTCCACCTTTGCATTCATGTCCCCTCCATTTGCTTCCCATCCATGAGTAGCCTGGTATGTATAGTGGTTCCTCCTCATTTCTAAGGTGTGCTTCTGCTACCCCATACACTGTGAAATTTTCAGCATTTAATCGTTCATTAATCTCATCCCACTTTATTGTTTCTACCTCCCTGCATGTTTTTAAACATAATATATATTGAGCCGATTTTTCTCTTACTTCCACAAGGCTTTCTCCTGTCCTTCCTGCTGCTCTTGCGGTACTCGCACCCAGGAGCTTCTTCCGACTCTGGTACTGGTACATATGGTACTGGTGCATCTACACCGGTGCCCTCCAGGCTCTGTGGGTCCCCAAAAAAGCTGCAACATGCCGACCCAGCCTCTCTCCTACTCCCCTACCTGTGTCTGGACTGTAGTGGATTCCACCCCGTGTAAAAGGGCAGGAGCCAGCCACATAAACTTCCCAGTTTATCTCCCAAGCCCGGACAAGTGGGATAGTGCATATTTCCACATGCCCCCTCTCACTGACCGCTCCTAGTTTACCCAGTCCTGCCTCTATTTGTTTTCCCAGGTTCTGGCTCCTCCCGGTTTTCCCCCTCCATGTTGTCCCACAATACCTCCTCCGCTTTGGCAATGGCATCTAACATGTACTTTCCTGGCTGGACCTCTACTCGCACCCTGTTGTCCTCTTTCACCTTGCCTAGCACTCCCTCTACGATACCTACCATGTTGGAGTCTCCCACTACTAGGACTCTCCTACCTGCCGACGGCTGCCCTCCCTCTCCTGGCACTGAGCTGCTACCCCCTCCATTAACCACCGGTACCAGGCTGGGCTCTCCCAATCCAGCTGTTTCCTTCTCCTTTTGTGCAGCTTCACTATAGATCCTAGGAACCACCTTTGTGCCTGCACTGCTCGCTCTCTGCTTTCTAGCTCCTTTGCACCATAGGCACTGCCCTCGCTGTTGACTCCCTCTTCATCTCTTCCCACTGTGCTTCTAGGTCGACTATCTTCTCGACCACTACTTTTGAGAATGCCCTGCAATTCTGCCATCATTGCTTGTCTTTCGTCGCTCTTCCCTTTTCTTCTCAAATTACACCATGACACACTCCACTCTATACTTGCACTCCTTTTTTCGCTCTTCTAGCCCTCCCTTCCACACTTCCCCCTGCCTGAACTCCTCCACCTGCTTCCCCCTTTCCTCGTTAAGCTCAGCCCCCATGTGCTCTAGCTTGCCTTCACATTCCTTGGTAAGCTCCTGCCATCTCACTTCAGGCTCGCCCCTCTTCAACTCAGTGACCTGCGTCTCGAGCAGGACACGCTTTTCCCGCTTTTCCTTCAGTTCCTCCTTTATCTCTTCGAATTTATCCTTCCACTCTCGTTCTAGCCTTATCAGGCCTTCCTCAATCTTCTCACAAAGTTGGCAAGCGAAGGTACTTTTCTCTGCGTCAGCTGTGCTCCCAAATTTCGTTTCTTCTAAATAGCATCACCACTTGCACTCTCCATACTCCACCATGTTCAGGTCCCCCTTGATCTTCTTCTCTTTTCTATGCATCGCCTAGCTACTCAAAAACCCGCGCGTCTATTACAAAGAAAAAGCCCGCCAAAATTTACACAAAGACCGACCCTATTCTATTTTCTCACGGCCCAGCCGGCCGCCTAGGTTAACCTGAATCCCGCACCTTGCCACTAATTAAATCTACCTCTATTATACCATGTATGCTTTAAACGCTAAAAATACCATGCCTTGAAGGTATGGGTTGTTGAAGCAAAACCAAATGTTTTGCCGCCGTCAGTGGAATAGGACAGTAAGCGAGTTAACTAGAGACACAGGCAAGCCGGTGTGGATTCACCCACCACCCGTCTCCGATTTGTGCGAGACCAAAAGAACCTTTATTGAACAGACTGGAAAAATGTCCATAAACTTTCTGCAATATCGATAACGCCGGTTCACTTGGGGTTCTACGGTGAAACGTAACTCCTTCCACATATCTTCAATGCGATAAGCAATCCCTCCTCGTAGCGGCTGATCCATTAGTTGCGAAAGAGTGCCCGCGAGAGGTGCTTATGCAATAGGCGGTAACTGCGCGTGCAACTAGCTCCAACTGGACGGCATCTCCGCGCTGAGAGTCGCTTTTCGTCAGATTACGTCTTCCTGGAACCAAGACAAACAACAAAAAGAAACGAGACCCATTTGTGCATGGCACCAGGCTGACGAAGCCATTTCTCGTCTATCTTTTTGACCGCCTGCTCAGGAATACAAAGCTACGACTGTCCCTGGGCAAAACCAGCTTTTCCCGAGGAACGTTAAAAACCCGCCATTACCAAAGCAATTCAAGGCTGCCGTGACGGAAGCGGCTATCGTATGCACGTCATTCGCACAACATCGAAATACGTCACTAGAACTGCTCCAACCACAAATTGAAGGTTCAAGGTAAACGAAATAGAACAAGCTGTCATTCCGCCGACACCAGCGAACGTGCTCGTGAATTTTCGGGAAATTTTACATAATAAGGTCAAGCTGCACCAGAAATACAGCAGCAGAGATATTAAAAATAACGCAGAGAAATTAACTTGACCACGAAAGCACGAAGTACTTGTAAAATCCGCATTAAAGTTGTTGTGAAACTGACCGATCGACCGTACGCAGTTCGTACGACGCTACCGTATTTTGAGGTCCCCACTGAATGTCAGTCTTTTGACCGGCAATATTACCTTCATAAGGGTTGAAACCAAAAGTTCAGTAATAAAATAAACCCCACATCCTAACGTCTTCGCGCTGTATACGCGCACAATGCAGATGACACACTACTTTCGAGGTTCATCGGTACTTACCCTTTTGAAAGCTCCGACGACGAATGGTCTGGTACAGACATCCTAAATTCAGAGCCGATTTCTTTCAACCTACTAAAAAGCGTTAGCAACATAGACCACTTTTTGCTTGATGCAACGTCAAAGACGGCTACCAGCTCGTACTACCCACCACACAACTCATTGAATTAACAACGCCGACGGAGCCCGCAATGCCCGCAATCATCGACGACCTCCTCAACTCTGCATGAGCGCTGGCTCTTTTTTAAAACTCTTTTCGCCCCTGAGTGACAAAGAGGGCGCCACGTTCCAGTCAAGTTTCGTATTGATAAATAAAAATCAAATGTTAATTTTTTTTATAAACTTACTTTCGCAACCGCAGAGCCTAGAGTGTTTATGTTATTTTGTCAACGTACACCACGTGTTTTACACTAGCTTCATAAACTTGCACGTGCGCGGCAAAGACGAGGACAAAGGGAAAACCGTGGGACCGTGGTGAGAACGACGGGTCCATATCAGAAGAGCGAATGACATTTTAGCGAACGGCGACATTTGAGCTAATCATGTCGTATTACACCTGAGACTGCGGTGGAAGAAATCGGAAGAACTTTCAGTAGAAGGAACAGACACAGAGAACGTCTCAAAAGTTGCGACGTTCTCTGTGTTGTTGAGACGTTCTCTGTGTCTGTTCCTTCTACTGAAAGTTCTTCCGATTTCTTCCACCGCAGTCTCAGGTGTAATACGACATGATTAGCTACCACCAGCTCGCCTGCACTCTCACCGTCTTTTGACATTTGAGCGAATGGTCGTTTTAGCGAATAACGGGGGCGCGCGTTAACCCATCCGTCGCGCTGCGCTTTACGCCGCTTCGCGGCGACAGTCTACGGCAACTCATTACAAAAATATGAACTCACTTGGCCCACCCGAAAACGCCGCTTCGCGGCGTCCTACTATTCGCTAAAGTGTCGTTCGATGAAACGTGGGCGTTCGCTAAAACGTCATTCGATCAAGTGAGTGCCTCCCAGGACAAGGTAAGAAGACGACGACACAAGGCGCCCTGTTGATTGTCCAGGGGGTCCTCATGCGCGCCTTATGTTCAGATTGTCTTCCTCGCAGAAAACCTTTAACGTCACAGTGTTCCGTGGGTCTGCGCAGGCCAAGCTGTCATCGCCAGGGTGGAAAAAAATCAAATGAATAATATAGTAATCTTTATTCAGCATAAAGGGCTGCGACACCACAGAAAGGCCATTGGCCCATACCTGAGGCCTGCAGTGCCGCATTACTACAAACAAAACAAGGTAAGATTTTCACATCAAACATACACGTACACAACACACAAACGCACATGTACGCTCGCGCATACGCACGCGCGCGCGCGCACACACACAGGGGTGCGGGGAAGAGAAAGGGAGGGTAAATCATTGTTGGTTGGAGGTAGACCTGTGCGCCGGTCAGAAATCGCCGGCGGCGGCGTTTTGACGGCGCGGGGATCAACGGATCGGCGGCAGCGTGGCGCGGGCGCGGAATAGGGTGTGTGTAAATTAAAGAGTGAGGGGGAGAGAGAAAGGACTCGTTTGAATTTGAAAAACAGGATGCAAATACCATAAAAAAGGAACGGTGAAGAGTGCGTCTGTTAGAAGAATCAAGTACTTCGGCTTCTTTTTTATTCTCGTTTGTCAAAGAATATGTCGCCGGCTGGCAGCCGCGGCGCAAGATCCTCCGCAAGACGAGGACCGACGACAACAGGTATTTTATCACCGCGTTCCACCTCACCACGCGCTTGTGCGCCCCGTGCCTAACAAGTCAACCAAGCACGCCCTCCGATTTATAGAACTCGTACTCTCATTCGGTACGCCGCAAGCCGTCATCATCGACAACGACAGGGTCCTAACCTCTCGTTCGGCTTCGTGGTACTTCGCCGACAGGCACATATAGAGCATCCCTAACAGTACTTTACGCTCCCGAAGCTAACGGCTTTGTCGAACGCGCCAACGGAAAAATCCTTCCATGTCTGCGCGAAAGAACGTCAACGGCGACATCGACCATTGGAGCGATTATCTCCAGGCAACCAGCTTTCAAGTGAACCAGCAGCCGTACGCCGGACTCCAGACATCACTGTTCGAACTCCTGTTCAACTTTGTCCCACGTCGACCAATGGAAATTTCCCCGCTTCCCGACGAGGTCGGCGACGTCCGCGCGAACTGCGACGCTGTAAGCGCGAACCTCGCTTACTTTCACGGCATGAAGCATGGCTAGACGCATAACAGAAGATCATGACAACATTAACAAAATGTTGGAGGGCGCAAGGATTTTGAGCTCGGGAGTGTAAGCTAATACGGCAAATACGCTGGCGGCAAAGACCCGTGAGGAGAGCCTCCCCGACTCGACCGGATGGGGGCTCGACTTCGTCCCCCGATGCTGGATCCCGGCGTGGAAACGAGAAAGAAGGACTCCTAGAAACACGACGTGACAGGAACAAGCCAGGCGTGTAGATCAAAATAATATACGTTTGAAAGAAGCCTGAAAACGGACGCGAATATATCCCTCTTGTATCAAATTATTTCACAAAGTTTTCATTAAATCGTTTTGCGGTCTACAAAACCGTTCATTCCGTTATAACACTTTAAAAACACAGGCGAGCTGGTGAAGAACTTCCATAGTAACGGGAGACACGGAACGATAAAAATAATGGTCAAGACAACAAGTCTCAAACACAGCTTTTATACCCGTTTTCACGTCAAGAACTCTAGTAAAAAGAGTCCGACTCTTTGCGAACCATTACTAATTTCCACCTTTATGTGGACAATTAATATATATGTAGCTGGATTCTACTATATGTATTATCAAGACGTACACGTTCCAGCGCCAAAAGCATCGCTTTTTTCTACGACAATCAAATCTCGTAAGACTTGTGCCCTCCCCCTATGTAATGCCTTCGGGCCCTGAGGGTACTTTCATAAATAAATAAATAAATAAATGCTCAAAACGTTTTTTTTTTTTCTTGAAAAAACGGGTATAGTTTATTTGAACAACGAACGCTCTTATATATACGTCAAGACCCTCACCACCAAAAAAAAAAAAAAAACTCTTTAAAAAAAAGGGTATCACCATAAACCCTTTTGTCCCGTATAACGCACCCCAAAACTTTAGTTTGACGCACAGCGCACAGACGACCATACATTCTTACAAGATGCTTGATAACGGAGCGATATAACTTATTACTAAATAGCTAAAGTACGTATCATAGACCACAGAAAGAAAACACTGAGGTTTTGCAGTACGGCCAAGAAAACCCCGATTATTATTATTTTTTTTTTTTTTAGTCAGTAAAACGTACATTAGCTATTTTAATATGTTGTACCACATGGCTATCAAGCCTCTCGTGAAAGTTAGTACTGTCAGATCGACGTCTGAAGTTTTGGGGTGTCTTATATGAGACAAAGGGTGTAAGAATACACCCTTTTTTTATAGTGTAGGTCACTGAAAGCCGGACATTCAGACAGATCCAAATGATTCATGGTCACACCAACCTGCCACCCAGACGACCCCGCTTGATGACTGACCAGACGCATGCGATAACAGGCAACTCCATCAGAACCCTTACTAATATGATACACGCGTGACGAGATGTCCCTATAGAGCGTGCAATTCCCTTAAGTCGATGAAACGATCGTGTCGACAAAACGTGTGTCCGTGAAACGTGTGTCCATGAAAAGTTGTCTGCGATACGTAATTCCACGAAACGAGTTTCGACGAAATGAGAGGGTCCCGTGCAGCACTCCTGTCTGAAAAGTTACATCTGGGTTCTTATGTTGTTGTTGTTGTTGTTTTTTTTTTTTTTTTTTTCTGGCGCCCCTGAGGATCATTAGAAAGGGGGTTGACCTTTCTAATTTGTGCTGAGCTTTGAAAACTAAATTTACACTGAACTTATTGGCCACTGATATAAAGTTATGAGAGATTCCATGGTAGTAAGGCACACGCACAACATTCTTCACAACCGGTTTTTCCACAGGAGCCGGATTAAACCTTCAGCACCTTGAGCACAACTCTAACAATTACATCGTGGTGATGGCCCGCTTCCTAACGACGCATCTTTTGCAACTCAACTGCCTCACCAACCCAGAACATACGGGATTCTTTACAGGCGTTATCCATCGCAGACGCCACTCTTAACTATTTTCAAGTGACAGCTGTCAGCTGCCAACAGAGGCTTGGCTGATTCCTTGCCGTACCTCCAGCACATGCCCTTTATCGTGTGCAACAGTAGGTCTATAAGTACTTAATTGGACTGTCGCGATGGCACGGTTGTGCGGTCCAATCGACAAGGACCGCACATCCGTGTCAACGTAAACATAAATCTCGATTAAAAAAAAAAAAAAAAAAAAATCTCGGACAACACTGGAGCAAATTAACGACCCTGTTTTTGAATAAAAAGATAACCATCAAAGTACCAGTGGCAGACTGCAACTTCAATAGATTATCATCACACCACCTCTTGACCCTTATTAACAGCTCCGACTTATCCATAGAGTAACATAAGTCCTTAATTGACGTCCACAGTTGTCACATCGCACCTTCTCCCATGATGCGGATGGTAGACCGTTTCCGCCTCCCGCTAAGCACCCGGATAGCGCTCCGTAATCCGCCACAAGACCTTGAACTATGCAGACAAGGCTGGCGGCGCGCATGCGCAGCTGCGGCGTTTTCTGGAGGGATACCGTAGCGGAGGAGAAAAACGGTGTACTACAATTCCCTAATATTTCAATCAATTGCTCAGAGTTTTTGAGTGACAATGGCCTGTTGCTTTACTCCTGTCAGGCATTTCGAGATAAAAACCGACAAGACCTTCTGCCAAGCTCAATTTTCGTTCACAACCATTTTAACAATTACACCAGGATGGGATTGTTAGTTGTGCTCAGGGTATAAGGAACGTACGTTTAATCCGGCTCATGTGAAAAAAAAAAAAAAAAGAAAAAAAAAGAAAACGGTTTTAAAGAATGTTGTGTGTGTGCCTTAATACCTTGGAATCTCTCATAACTTTATATCAGTGGCAGAGAGGTTCGGTGTAAATTTAGTTTTCAAAGCTCAGTACGAATGGAGAGGTTAACCTCCTTTTCGGGTGGTCCTCAGGGGTGCCAGAAAAAAAACGTCTACAACACGTGCCGGAACTATTAATGGTGTCCGCCTCAATTATCTCTCTAACAGTCTTATCATTGTGCCTAGCGATGAACAGTGGAAGAAGCAAATAATGGTTTGCAC